AAATCCAAGACTCTGAACGGCTTGAGAAGTGCAAACAAATGAGTTTGCCTTGTTAGTTTGTGTGCAAAAATTTAATCTGTCAATGAGTTAGCTTTCCTGTAAATCTTCTCTAATTAAAAACTGTAACAGAGTCTCTTTACCCACACAATAAAAATGACTGCATGGGTTTTGGAAACGCTGGTTAATAGGCATTAACTACAGCAGAACAATCTGCAAGTGAATTCCATATTCCTTGGCACGACGCGTAGGTGAATATTGGCTCCCAGGCCTCCCTGCCACGCTCAGTGGATGTTTTGCTGCTTCAGCAAAATCTGTATATGCAATAACGTAGCGGAGCAAAATTACGAGGTTGTAGGGAGCTTCCTCTCAGCCACGCGCGAGGGCAGCCGAAAGCAGGCTTGTGCTGTTCGCGGGCTTCGCTTCGGGCGTCAGAGCTGGTCCCCGCAGAGCAACTAAGGTGGTGTGTGCTGAGTGGGCTGGTTTCTCCTCTGCAATTCATGGAATTAGACTTAATTAGAAAAATTTAATTTCTCTTAATAGCAGGTTATGAACGAAGAGGACACTGCCTATTTAAAACTCCATATAAACATCTTTTGGGGAGCTTCTTTCTTGTTTAAAGTACTCTGAATTATTTAAAAGGGATTTATTTAACGCTTTAGGCTCCGATCCTGCCCGCAGGCTGTTAGCAGCCCACACGCAACCCGTTGCGTTATGCTTCCTCACGTGTGCTATCTGTTCACTTTTATTGTATGTGATTCAGCTTGGGCAACATATGGCGCAGTATTAATTTTTCTTTGTCTCTAGTTGGTTTCATTTCCTGGTTCCCACGGCACTATGGAACTGCAAACGGAGCACGGGAGATTTAACGCAAACAAGACTTTTTCTCTTTTCTCTCCCCTTGCCCTTCTTTAAAAGAAGACTCCTGGTTTAGTTTGTTTAAAAGAAAAAAAAAAACCTACGTTTTTAGCATAAACAGTATTTGCCGGAGACTTCTTTAACCATAATATAGAATAAAAGTCCTAGAACCCACAGAACCACAATATTATTTTATTTTAACAGTACTGCATTTAAGTCTATTAGTTTCTTCTGTTTCTTGATTTTTGGCCATAAGGAATCGATTACGTCCTACATGTACAGCATCGCACTCTGCTAAAACTTGTATTCTCGGTTCTGTTGTTCCCTAGTAGCAGTTGTTCTGGCATTTTATTTTTGGCTGTCATAAACTAGTTGTGTATATGAAATTATGAGAATTTGTGGTGCGGGAGTTGTGGCTGTTGGGTGATTGATCATGCTGTCTGCGGAGCGAGGGGTAGCCTCCTCGGATGCGCTGTAAAACCTCTGCTTCAGCGGGTATTAACGCTGCCTGCCGAGCAGGACATTTCGGCAACCGGAGGATAGTCTCACCACGTACCGTAACGCAGCGTTTACGATCCTAGATAGCAACGAGCCCTTTGTGCGTTAGCGTGCTGCCTGGGGAGTCACCAGCCAGCGCCGGCTGCGAGCGTTTGCTGTTCATCGTCCTGTGCTCCGCTGCCACGCGTCTTCCTAAAACCCTCGCTGTGCGTTCTCCCCCCACCGCCCCGAGGCTGCAAGCGGTTAAACCCGTGGTTGCTGAAGTCACTGTAGTTTCTGGGAGAATCAATAGTGCTGCAATTAAAAGCCGCGGGGGCACTTGCTGTAAAAGGACCATCAGAGCTGCTCCTGCCCTAACAAACGCGTGAATCTAACTGTAGATCCACAGCACGTTGACGTAACCTATGTTTTTGGTAGCGTGTGACATCGCTGTACCAGATAGACGCTTTACTGCCTGCTTGCGTGCCGGCTGATACCGAACGGCTCCTAGCCGGGAGCCTGCCGAACGGCTGGGTTGCAGCAGGCTCGGGCCGCCAGCGCTCGCTGTGAACGGCTCCCGCGCATCTGCCGGCGGAGCGGAAAAGGTGCAGCATCCCCCAGGGCTGCGCTGGTCTGCTCTGCTGATCTTGCAGAGGTTGTTAGCGGCTTAAACGAGGTCTTTCCCCGTAGCGTCAGCTTTCCGTTGGGCTTCGCTGCAAACGAAAGCAAGGCTTGGAGGGGAGCTGGGAGACCTGCTGCGTCCCCTAGGACGGGGGGATGTAAGAGGAGGAAACTCGGAATCGGGTGCTTGCAAGAGGCGCTTAAGGGTTGTCCTCGGCGATTGGCGATGGGAACCCGCTCTGGTCCGTGCAGATGTGCTGTCACTGGCTGTTTGCGCAGCAAAAATCCCCCCAGAGCAGAGCAGCTTCCCCGGCT